GGGTCAGTGAAATAGAGGAAGACCCTCAACAAGATGGACTGACACAGTGGCAGCAACAATGCATTCAAACAAAACAACTGTGAGGATGGAGCAGGACTGGGCAGTGTCGCCTTCTGTTGTACACAGGGTTGCTATAAGGCACCAAACAACAACACCCCTTCCATAAGGAGTCCTGAGCACAATGGTTAGGTGCTCAGCCACTAACTAAAAGGTTGGCATTTTGAAGCCACCCAGCAGTTCTGTAGGAGAATGATCTGTGATATGCTTACCTGTAAAGATCACTGTTGTTCAATGCCAGTTCTGACTCATAGAGACCCTATATAGGGTTTCTGAGGAGCAGCTGGTGGGTTTGAAATACCAACCTTGCAGTTAGCAATCTAGTGCTTATCCTACAACGCCACCCCAGGAAGATTACAGACTAGAGAATCCTATGGGCCCGTTTTACTCTGTCACTTGGGGTTGCTGTGAGTTGAAATCAACTCGACAGCACCTAACACCACCACCCATCCCATTAAATCGGACAGTTCTCCCTTTATCTGTGGGGAATATGTTCCAAGACCCCCAGTGGATACTGAACCTGCATATAGTACAGAACTCTATGTATACTATGTGCTTTCCTATACATACATACCCACAGGTACCAGGTGCCTGGGATGGACAGTTTTAACTCCTTGGATACTGGCAAGGCACAGACCAGCACTCACCCAATGGTGTTTTCAAGGCTTGTACCAAGTGGAGGAGGAGGAAACTGGCTTTAGGACAGAGCAGGATGGTGTGAGGTCTTAGAACACCCGGCTCAGAACAATGTACACTTTAAATGTATTTAAATATTTCTGGACTGCAGTTGACCACATATAACTGAATCCAAAGATAAAACTGTGGATGGGGAGGTAGGTGTAAATTGGAATTTGAATAAAAAAGACTTGAGAAGAATTGATGCACTTGAATTATGGTGTTGGAGAATACTAAAAGCACCACGGACAGCCAGAACAAACAAATCTGTGTCGGAAGAAGGACAATCAGAATGCTAGTAAAAGCCAGGATGGTGAAACTTTGTCTTTCATACTTCAGATATATTATCAGGAGGGATCAGTGCCCGGAAGTCAGACATCAGGTAAAGTGAAAAAGAGGGTAAAGTGACAAAGTGGACTGGCAGAGTGGCAACTATGGGCTCAAGCTAACAGCAACATGAGGATGGTGTAGGACTAGAGCGAGTTTTGTTCTGTTGTGCATAGGGTCACTATGAGTTGGGACTGGCTTGATGGCACCTAACAACAGATCTGTACTTATAATGCAGGTACTATTACAATTGCCAGGTAACGGAAAACGAGGTCGGAAGAGGTGAAGTAACTTACCCAGGCTCACACAGCTTGGAAATAGAGCTTAACTTTGAACCCAGATTTGCCCTATTCCCAAGTGATTCCAGAGCCCTATCAACAACAAGGTCCTGATGTGGCACACTGTAGGATCACAGAGTTTGCAGTTCAAACTAACTAGCCAGTCCTTGAAAACCCTATACAGGGTGGCTATGAGTCAGAATCAACACCGTGGTACTTAACAACATCAACCATTATGCTATCCCACCCCATCCAGTATTGTTGCATTCCCCATTCATATTTCAGGTACTCAATTTTAGCATAAGTCACAGAGCAGACATCCACTAGGTCAGTTACTTCCCCAGCATTCAAAAGCATTTCATCTCCCCAGTGCTTTTCCTGCCTTCCCCTCGCCATGCTGGCCTATGACACCTGAAGAAGAGCTTACCGAGGGTGGATCCGCCAAAGGTAGACTCCATAGTGTAGCTGTTTAGGATTCCCATCCGCCACATCACAACCCGTCCTGTTCCTTCTTTGCACTTTTGGACCTTAAAATTACAACTATGAAAAGAGAACTAGAGAGAGAGACCCAAATCCTCTGTTAATCACAAGTGGGCAAGTGTGAGATACCAAAGATTCATGAACATGATACTAGAATAGCTCCCTGGGTTGTTCCAAAGTCTACAGTTAATTCAAAACATATCTTGGTTCCTCAACTTGTAAATAAGACTTTTTTTTTTCTAGCCGTAAGTACACAGTTTTTTATTAAATTGTTTGTGGGGATGATCATATGTAATATTAACACTTGGTGTCTATATATTATTTCCTAAAGTATGTTCCATAAAATACTAAGGACGAGAGGAATGCAAGAAAGAAGGCAGGAGGAAGGGTGAAGAGTCCATCCAAGTCCCTTTTACAGACCAGAAGTCCCTCACTAAACATTTGCTCCGTATACTTTTATGTGGAGTCCTGGTGTGGTGCTGTGGGTTAATGCACTGGACTGCAAAGTCGGTTTGAAACACAAGGTCGGTGGTTCAAGCCCACCAGCTGCTCCTCGGAAACCCTATACAGGGTTGCTATGGGCCAGAACTGACTCAATGGCACTTCACAAGAACAACACTTTCATGTGATAAAATTTGCATTACTATTTAAATTCTTTTCTAACCCTTCACTTCCCCTTTCTAATCACAGTTACATTTTATGGATCTATTTTAAGATGTCTGGTAGCGTAGTGGTTATGAATAGGGCTGCTAATTTCACAGTCAGCAGTTTGAAACTACCAGCTGTTCCGCGGGAGAAAGATGAGGCAGTCTGTTCCCATAAAGATATACAGCCTTGGAAACCCTGTACAGGGTTGTTATGAGTTGGAATATCAATTTTAAGATATCAAGAATCAACTTCTAAGTCAATGCCGGTACTCCATATGTGCCCAACTGTCACAAGGCTGAAACTCATTCAACATCATTCAACATTTTAAGTTGTTCTCATTAGCCTTCTAATACCTCACAGTTGTTAGCTCGCATAGTGTCAGCTTTTCGGTGGGGCCTTTTGTTTTCCTTCCAATCCTTTATGTAAAGCATGAAATCGGATGGTTTTTTGTCTATGAACAACTCCAGCCTAGCAGAGCTTCATTCCATTTTGTGTCTAGGTTTTTTCAAGTGTTCAGATGCCAAGCTTTCTTGAGTACCTCATGTACTTCTGACAGCTGAACAGCCAGAGGTAGAAGCAGAGTGTATTTACAAGTCGGTTTCGGGCCAATTCCCCCAGCCAGCCCTCACAGGAACATTCCTAGACACATCCTTAATGCCTGTTCTCTATGTCATAACCTGAAAACCTCAGGACTGTAAACTTTCCTATCTACAATAGTCCCCTCTGCTTTGTTTATGTGGCACATGGCTGCTGCTGTCAGGCATGGTTGTGGGAGGAAATTCCTTTGTTCTCTCTGCCCTATAAAAGGTGGAGACTTTGTAAACTCATCATGGTGTCTGATTTCCCCCACCCAGGTGATCTATGTTGGTTTTTGTCTTAGTAACGAGTCTGTAAATATTTATATGATAGAAATTGGGGTCTCTTTCCCCTTATAACATACTGCAACTGCAAGATTAAAGCTGAGTGCCAACTCAAATGGGAGTTTCTCTTTGTGTCAGGAGCTTTAAAAAAACTAAACAAAAAACAAAACCATCTCTAATGAAATATATTCACAGATCTCTAACGAAATATATTCGTAAAATTCACCCATGAAAAATCCCCAAGTCAATGGTTTAAATAGATCCCAGAGTTATATAACGATCACCTCAATCTAGACTTTCATTGACCCAAAAAGAAACTTGTTCCCATAGTTGTTGTTAAGTACCGTCAAGTCAATTCTGACCCATAGCGACCCTGTATAGGGTTTCCGAGGAGCAGCTGGTGAGCTTGAACCGCTGACCTTGCAGTTCAAACGGCTTTGCCGTCTGGCGCAGTAACCCACAGCGCCACACCAGGACTCCATTCCCATATTAGTCACTCCCCAATTCACGCTGCACCCAACAGCTGTGTTGTTGTTGTTGTTGTTAAGTGCCATCAAGTCAGCTCCGATCCATAGTGATCCAGTATAGGGTTTCCGAGGAGTGGCTTGTGACCTTGTGGTTCAAACTGACCTTGCAGTCCAGCACATTATCCTGCAGCGCTACACCAGGACTCTGCCCCAGCAGCCCTAGGAAGTCACTAATCTACTTCCAAGAAGTCTCTGTAAACTTGCCTGTCGTGGACAGTTCATAGAAATGGCATCGCAGAATATGCGGTCATGCGTGTGTCATTCCTTGTTTCTGCAGAATACACTTCATTATGTGGATAGACTACATTGTCCTTATCTAGTTATCAGTGTCATTTTTAAAGCTATACCTTCATAAATTCTACAAGTCCAAGTTTCTGGAACAGTAAAATTTTGAAAGTTAGAAACTAAGTAAGGCAGAAACCGCTAAGAGAAGGAAAAATCAAATATTTCCCACTAAAATGAATGATAAGAAAGTGGCAATATGGCACCCTAACAAAGGCAGAAACTTGGCAAGATCTGGGGGGGGTTGAGGGGGAGGGGGAGTTCCAGCTCTCATAGCTTTCACTGTATTCAACCAAAATAATAAAAAGACAGACAAGGTAGCAAATCAAATCGTAAGTATAGGAAGCAGGGCGCTTAGTCAAGTACCTTATGTGCTTACCTTATCCGGTGCATTTTTGCTCAACATTAAAGGAAAGACTCGCTCATGAAGCCAGTACTTGCGATCATTGTTATTACAGCCATACAAGAAGATATTATTCTTACGGCTGTGACCATGGAAATCACAATACAACAGAACCTCCCTTTCTTCAAGAAGTCTATTGGGGGAGAATGGAGGCAAACAAAGGACTCAACGGATATTCAACTGCATGTGAATAATCAAGAATAGTCCAAGAATCTCTTGGCATCTCTTCCTTCAGTATGGCTGTTGATAACTCTCCTCCTGAGAAAATTTCAACTCCCAATGGCCTTTAATATTTTTTTGCATTAGACTGAACACCCTTCCCTTTCCAGACACTATTTTCTCTTCCTACGCCCTGGTTTCAACTGTCCATGCCACCTGATCTGCTACAGGGCAGCACCTCCCCACCTCTGAGGCCTGGGTCATATGCTAATGTCCCTTCTGCAATGTCTTCTCATCTGGGGTCTCTGGCCTGTCAAATCCACTTCACAGGGTCAATTCCCTGAGCTCTTCTTTGTCCCCTGACCACCTGCTGTAGTCTCAAGAATCCTAACAATATAGTCACCAATGCTGCACACTTACAAGGTGCTGGGTATTGTGAGAAGTAGGTGGCACGGATTAGTTCATTAATCCTCACAGTAAGCACACAAGGCAGGTTATTAGACCCATTCTACAGATGAGGAAGATGACGCTCACAGAGGATAAATCACTTGATCAAAGTCACAGAGTCAGGCCTCAAACCCAGGCCTGTTCCTCTCCTAAACACGTGTTCTCCCACATGCTCTTGGCCACTTGGTCACTTTGCCCACCAGCCCAGCCCTGCTTCCACCTCTCCCACAGACATGGTGAGAAGGCACGTGCTCCCACATCCCAATAGGCCACTATTTTCATTGCCAGTGAAATGGAAGCTTCTTCAAGGTGGGCGCTCCAGTATAGCACAGCGTCCAACTGCTTTCACACAGCAACTGAAATTTACTACGTGTCTTTACTTGTGAGAGGCAATAAAAGACAGTGATAGCCAGTTCAGATTCTGAAGTCAGCCAGCAGCCTGTGTCCAAACATCTGTCATTACTAGCCGAATGTCCTTGGGCAAGTCATTTAATTGCTCTGTGTTTAATCTGTGCCAAGTGGGAATACTGACTATACTAATTTCCCAGCGAGCGCATGAAGAGGAATGAGGACCTGTGAACTGGCCTGATCTCTGAACTGGCCCGTTAAATCCGTTCACTTATCAGGGAAATGACTTGACAAGCTGAAAAAGTTACACACCCAGTTTCAACCCAAAGATAAGCTTGGGGTAGAAGTTTAAAAATTAATGAACCCATGTGGCTTGTAGAGAATGGGAAAAGCTCTCTCCAAGGCCCTCCCTCATTTCTGCCACACTGGGAGCAGGCTCAGTACCCCATGATGTCGTACCGGTCTGTGGGTCTGTGGTGCTCAACAGAGAAAGGCGCTCACCTCTTTATCATGTTCCTGGTGTGCCAGACGCAAGGAAAAGACTCCTTCAGAATGGTCTTATAATGCCTGTTCAAGTCCCTGCCAGCCAGTGAGCACCGGTAATTTCCCACAATCACGCCATCTGGATTTAACATGGGTACCACCTTAAAGACAAAGATATCTCTGAGGAGCTGGGCATCGGGGGAGCTGCTAAGGATGAAGTCCAAAAAGCCTTTCATAATCCAGGAGCCGTTGCTTTCCCCGGGGTGGACTCTCGCACTGAAGACCACAGCTTTCTTTGCAGCTGCCTCTTGGGGGTTTCGGGATGGGTTGGTGATGGTGAGCAAGTAGACGGTGTTCCCTGCAAGGCTCCTGCACAAAGTACGTAACTTGCAGTACTGGGACTGCACAGGGTTGTTCGCCACGGACAGGAGGTAGTACTGCAAATCCGTGTACGTGTATGGGTAGAAGTGTGCAAAGAAACAAGTATCTTGGTCGTGTGGGAACTGGATGGTCCACGTGAGACAGTAGAAGGGCTGCTGCTTGTCCTCTGTACTGTTCTTATAGTACCTGATTTCGTTTCCCTCTCTCCTCCAGCCAATGTTGTGGGTGCTGGCGTCCAGTTGGGAATACATAAGTGGCTTCATCCCTGCTGTGTAAAGGCTCTTGGGCTTCAGCAAGTTGACAATGGTGAATCGGTAGGTGACATCCTTTCTGGTGTTTTGAACTCGGAAATAAAACCACTGAGTGTGTTTGTTTGTGTAGAGATCAGTTTGAAGGGTCAGCTCATACTCATAGGTGTCTCTGGAATGGAGAAAATGGATGAACATTTCTGTAATGTGACATACCTCTCAAAAAAAACAAACAAAAAAAGCCAGGAAAATATTGTTTCTCCCTGGTAAATATCAGTTTTATCACTACAGAAAAACCTGTGATATCAAATAATCAAAGATATATTTTCTAATGTACCCCAGTTCTTCAACCCACATATTAGGTTATCATGAACTTAGGAAAGGTTATTTGAAGTGGGACAGGAAGACCTCCAAAAATGTATGCTGGACCCATCCAGAACCTTCTAAGGTGGGACATTCCCACTAGAAAGGACAAGCAGACCATCCTGGAACAGATAGAGTAACAGAAGACACATCTTCAAAGAAAACTCAGCAGGGAAAAACAAAACAAAATAAAAATGGCAGTATGACTGGCTACTACAAGAACAAGCAAGTTATTGGTCAGGAAAGCATCAAGGCAAGCAATCAAGTTCCTTCAGGACAAACCCCTCTCCAAGACTGAAACTCAAAGGGAACACATGAGCAGGCATGTAGCTTGCTGGCAACCACATTGATCTACTGGTGAGTGGAAAAGGTGGAAAGGCAGTAATGAAGAACTGGGCTGAGTTCAACTACATTCCATAGACTCCTGTTGACCTGGAGATGAGAGAGAGAAGAGGAAAGGCTGGTTGGTCCAAAGACCTGGGGACATCTGAGCCTATGGACAAGGACATAGCCACCAAGGGCTAGAGCTGAGAGTGAAGCATCCAGCTGATATGAAGTGAGGGGAGATGCACAAGAATGTCCAAACTTGCAGATAGTACCCATTTGTCCTAGCCTTGATGGCTTGATAATGAGAACTCGACTAGAGGAAGATAAAAAAATTAATTTTGATAAAGGAAACAAGTGTAAATTGCTACAATTTGATGAACTTGACCTATACTTATGGATGTAGTAGCTCAATATACCAACTAAGAAAGAAGGAATCTTCACATTAAGTATCAATCTTATTCCCTCTGTATAGGGGTAGATAGGGACGGGCAACTTAGATACTGGCTAACTAAAATGGGGGGTGGGGTGGTCATAGAGGCATGAAGTGACTGGCCTACAAGTTTTCAAGAGGGAGTTTAGTTTAAGAGTGTGTGAGGGAATATAGAGTCCCCACTGAATAGTTTTCATCTTGTCTAGATGGGTCTGGTAAAAAGAGATTGGGATAAGATTGTTATGATTCAACAGTGAGTAATTGTTATCATGACTAATTGCAACTGTCACAACTGTAAAGGTAGAAGTTTTGAACAAAATAGGGAGTAGTTCATCTTATAGTCCAGAAACAGAGGACCCTAGGACCATTAAGGGAGAAGAGCATGAGTGGAATGTGGGACCCTGTCCAGAGAAGCAGCAACACCAGAGATGGAGACAGAAATGAGGACATGGAGAGAGGGAGCAGCTGAGGACTCTAGACTCATGGAGAGAGAAAGACTGAGTACTCGAGGCCAGGAGGCAGGCTTGCAGAATGTGCCCTTTGGTTGTTTAAATTATTATATATTCCTGAGTGTTTTTGTATACATCCCACCCTAAAAAAACAGAGGGAATGAAAGAAAATACTATTGAATGATGGAGGAGACTGTAATCATTGCAATGAAACGATGGTGTAAAGCCAATGTTCTCCCATGTAAACTATCACTCAGTTCACAGCAATAATAATAATATTAAACAAAATGTATGCTGGAAACTCTGGGAGTTTCTTGGTTCTCTCTCTAGAGTGTCTGTAACCATTTGAATATGTTCCTCTGACTCCTCTAAACAGCAGTGGGGCCAGAGCCGTGTGGGCTGCTGGCTCTGTGCAGGAGATAATCATTGCTGGAGGAAGTCCCAAGTCTCTAGTATTATTTTATCTGTCCATCAAGTGAACGTGAGGGGGTATCTCTGGGATGGAGTTGCCTTAAAAGAAGTAGAAAGAACTTGAAGAAGATACTCATGCACATGAATAAATAAAATACAAACTAAATATCAGAAAAAATGAATGAAGTAAAACAAAACACTACCACATTTGAAATTCTGGGTATATCTGAAGTATTTACTTAGATAAATCTAAAACTTTCTGCCTACAGTTAAGGTTGTTGTTGTGTGCCATGGAGACAGTTCTGACTCATAGCGACCCTGTACAGAGTTTCCAAGGCTGTAAATCTTTACGGGAGCAGAAAGCCTTCTCCCGCGGAACAGCTGGGTAGTTTCAAACTGCCGATTGTGAAGATTAGCAGCCCGATTCGTAACCACTACACTACCAGAGCTCAGTAAATGCTAATATTGAGAATAAATAGCATTAATTATTCAATTCATTTAAGTTACTCAATTATTAATAATTAAATTATTTTCATATTATATTTATGGACACAGAAAAGAATACTAAATTTTGGACTGATTTCTAATAACTGAAAAATAATTTTCAGTTAACCATAATTTCTGATGCTCTAAAAATCCAGTTGCCTGATCTCCAAGTGAATATAAAGGTGTACTAAATCCTTCAGTCTCTGGAAGTGACTAAGGACAGAGAAGAATAAGGAAGGGAATGTTAATAAAACTTGTTCTGTAGATCTCCACCTTTTATAAATGTTTTCTTTCTATGTACTATGACATAAAAGGCATATGATACAGAAAAAGTAGCAACAAATTATTTCAGAGACTGCTTCTGACTGCCAAACATTTATAACATTCTCAAGCTTTATATTTAAAGTAGAAGTAAAAATATTTTTCAAGTAAAAGAACAGTCATAGTCCAATGTAAAAGTACCCTTTGGTTGTTTGATGATGCATGGAGGGGATTGTAATCTTTACAATGAAATGGAATACGATTTGATGAATGTAAAGCTCATGTTCTCCCATGTAAACTATCACTTAATTCACACCAAAAAAACTAAGAAAAAGAAAAAATATATATAAATCAAAAAAAAAAAAAACCCCACCTAAACCAAGATCCTATTTCCCCCCTCTAACTGATCAGTGCCTGATCCAAGCCATGGTATTTTCAATAACCTCATAAGCATGCAAAAGGTGGATAGTGAATAAGAAAGACCATAGAAGAATTGATGAGATTGACTTATGGTGTTGGAGGAGAATACTGAAAGTACCATGGACTGCCAATAGAACAAATTGATGTGTTGGAAGCCAGAGTGTTCCTTAGAAGCCAGGATGTCCAGACTTGGTTTTTCATACTTCAGACATATTATCAAGAGGGACTAGTCACTGGAGAAGGATATCATTGGTAAGATGGAGGGAAGGAGAAAAATAGGAAGAGCCCCAATGAGATGGATTGGCACAGTAGCAACATCAATGGGCTCAAGCGTAGCAACGATTGTGAGGTTGGTCCAGGATTGGGCAGCATTTCGTTCTGTTGTGCATAGGGTCGCTACAACTTGGTACTGATTCAATAGCACCTAATAACAACTGATCGGTATTCCAGTACTGGAAAAAAGGTACCCATATTCTATTCACAGGAACTGATAGCTCATTAGGACTTCCGGTGTAATGTTGTAGGATCTGCACTGAACTGTAAACCACAAGGTAAGCAGTTCAAATCCACCAGATACTCCTCGGAAATCCTATACAGGGTCGCATGAGACTGAACTAACTCAACAGCACTTAACAACAACAACAAGCAATCCTTAAAATGCTCTAAAACCCTTTGACTCAACAATTTTATTTCTAGGAACTTAGCCCACAATGTCACAAATACCTAAAAATATAAATGCCTATGGGTATAAATTTTATTAGTTCACTAAAGCAGAAAATTTTAAACATCTCAGTTTCCCATCAGCTGAGGGCTGGGCATTTCCCTCCAACAGCCTAACAGGCACAACTGACAACCAAGGGGCAGTTCCGGGGTCCTGACAGAAAAAGACCGAAAGTTTATTAAGTAGAAAAAAGCAATTTGTAAAACAATAGGTGTCATACTAGCCTATTCATATTTTTAAAGATGTATCATTTCTACATATTAACACATATTGTTGCTGTTGTTAAGTGTCATTGAGTTGGTTCTGACACATAAATATCCTGTTTCCAAGGAGCGGCTGGTGGGTTTGAATCACCAACCTTGTGGTTAACAGTCCAGTGCTTACCCTACAGACCCACACCAGGACTTCACACATACACACACGTAAAGAAAGTAGACATTGCACATATACACACATAAAGAAAGTGATGTATATGCCAAACTGTTAACAGTCATTGTTATCAGGGAAGTAATAATTATAGGACTTGAGTTTTTTATGTTACATATTTTAAATGAGCACTGGTGTGGCACCATAAGATAAGCACTTGGCCCAAGGTCAGTTTGCACTGCAAGGTCATCAGTTCAAAGTCACCAGCCGCTCCTCAGAAACCCTATACAGGGTCTCTTGACGGCACACAACAACAACAATTTAAAATATATATACATTATTAAAAGAAATTAGTGCTCAAATAAAATGCATACCATAAAAAGTTCAAGTTCTCTTTTAAATGAGCAGTGAGCACTAATTTCTTTTAGAATCCTAGTGTGGCACTCCTTCCATCACCATCTCTTTGGGACAATCCTCTTTGCTACTCACACTCTGACAGCTTTCTGTAGGTTCCCACTCTCAAACCTTGATTCAAACAGCAGGGTGTTATCTTCTGGTCCTTGCAACGTGACAGCAAGTTCCTTGATGATTCCTCGTTTACCTCCCACTCTGGAGCTGGTGAAATAGGAACCTTCAGTGGGCACTGCAGAGAAGAGAGACAGAGTCAGGCGCGGTGCCACTCAGACTCCACGCATCTGACAGTTACTGAGCTCTTCCAGGAGCTAAGCGTGATTCTAGGTTAATGCAAATGAGTATTCAAATTCTCAGGGGTCTTGGCTGAGACTTTTCATTTGCAACAATGTAGTTTTTTGACATCTGACTATTGCCTTTTGCTGAGCTGAAACTGCTGGCATTCAGATACAGGTTGTACTCAAATCTGAATTTAAAAGGATGTTGGCAAAAAAAAAAAAAAAAAGGAGATACAAAAATTCACTAATTAAAAAATGATAAAGTAGGACACAAAAAAATAGAAAAGTACAACTTTCACGGTGGACAGGTTTCAGCTGAGTTTCCAGACAAAGACAAACTAGGAAGAAGGAGAGACAGGCTACTTGGATTCTTTCGTCACTGAAAACTTTATGAATAGCAGTGGAACACTGTCAGCTCCAGGATGTTGAATACTGACACATGATGCAGACACTAGAATATTGTCAGATATAGCTGGAAGATGAGCCCCTCAGGT